GAAGTATTAGTTCAGCTTTATAAAAACCTAGTAAGACTACACCTGGAATACTGTAACCAATTTTGGTCACCAAAGTACAAAAAAGATGTTGAGGCTTTGGAAAAAGTTCAGAAAACAGCAACTAAGATGATCAAAGGCCTGGAGACTAAAACATATGAAGAACAGCTGCAGGCTACTCTAAAGAAAAGAAGAATTAGGGGCGACACAATAACAGTATTCCAGTATTTGAGGGGCTGCCACAAAGAAAAGGGGTTCAAATTATTCTACAAAGCACAAGAGGGTGGGGCAAGAAGCAATGATTGGAAACTAACCAAAGAGAGAAGCAACCTGGAATTAAGGAGAAACTTCCTAACAGTTAGGAAAATTAACCAGTGGAAGACCTTGCCTTCAGAAATTGTGGACGCTCCATCACTGAAAATTTTTAAGAATAGACTAGACAGTCACTTATCTGAAATGGTGTAGGTTCTCCTGCTTGAGCAGGGTGCTGGACTAGAAGACCTCCAAGGTCCCTTCCAGCTCTATTCTATTCTACTCTAAACTGCAAAATCATGCAATTGTAACCCTTAAGTGACAACAACCCAGAAAAGTCTCGCTTGCATAATCCAAGATGCATGGGTCATTGTGTAGGAATCAGTGGGAATCCCAGATAAGGCACACAGAGGTGCCAAAGGAGAGTGGGGGAGAGATCCAACGCATACATGCCAATTGAGAGGGGGGGTGCTATTGTATAGCATCTGAGGGAGGAAGGGAACAGGTGCATGCAAGCACAGGGAGGCCAATGGAAGGAGGGTATAGAAGTGTGTGTGTGAAGGGAAGCCAAGGGAGAAAGCACATCATGGTGCATGTGAAGGGAAGATGAGATAAAGCAGGGTGTGGCATGGTGTGTATGAAGGGAAGCCAAGGGAAGGAGAGTGTAGGTATACGCAGAGAAGGGAGGCTGAGGGAAGGAGGGCCCAGGTCTGTGTGAATGCAGAGAGGCCAAAGGAAGGAGGGTGTGGTGCAGAAAGATCAGGAGTAACTTACCCTTGTTTTTTTTTGTTTTGTTTTTTTTGTTTTGTTTTGTTTTGTTTTGTGTTTTGTTTTGTTTTGTTACACACACACGAACACACACACCGTATTTTTCGGCATCTAAGACTCTCCAGAGCACATCCGTTTTGGGGGGAGAAACCAAGAAAAAAAAATTCTGCCTCTACCTACCAGCATCCATCAGTATTCATCTGGCTAGCATCCTTGCAGCAAATAGCGAACAGCCTGGTCAGCTTCAGCACATTATTGCAGCCTGATTCAGCATGAACAGCTGATTGGTGGGGAGATCGCCACAGCACATCGCTGCCAATCACCACCGCCTGGAATCGCCCAAAAATGTGATGCACAGAGGCCATCTGATGCACAGAGGCTGAAAACGCGATGTGTAGAGGTGGCGATCAGCAGCAATGTGCTGTGGCGATCCCCGCAGCCTGGAAGAGGTATAAAACGGAGCATTCAGAGGCCAAAAACATGAGGCAGAGAGGCCAAAAACAAGAGGCAGAGGCCAAAAACAAGAGGCATGGAGGCGGCGATGGTCTGTGGCAATCCCTGCAGCTTGGAACAGCTGATTGGGTGTATTCCGGGAGGCTGATCCACCTGCTAATCAGCTGCTCATGCTGAATCAGGGGGAGATAATGTGCTGAAGCTGAAAACGGAGGCAGGGAGGCAGTGATGTGCTGTGGCGATCCCCGCAACCTGGAGCAGGTCTAAAACAGTGTGCAGAGGCTGAAAATGGCTGAAGAGTGGGGGCCAGCAGGTGGGCAGGGCTACATTTGGTGTATAAGATGCACCCAAGTTTTCACCCTTTATTAGGGGGAAAAAAGTGTGTCTTATACTTCGAAAAATACGGGTACTTTCTTTTTTATTTCTATTTTCTACATGTTATTTATTGTAATTAAAATCCTTACTAACAATTGTGTGTATATATAAAAACACAAAAGGGAAAAGAAAATGAGCCCTTAAGACCTAGGTCTATCCCTAGAATGTGAGTTAGTGTGGATGACAGCCTCTATGCACACTGCTTGATTGGGTCCAATATATTGGGAATACTTCCAGAAAAAAAATATTAAAGAAACGACAAAACTTACATTTTAATTAAACTATATCATTTTCACATGACCTCTTTGAACATTTTTATAGTGAGCTCACTGAAGACACTAAAGCACCATCTGTCCAACATACCATGGTTTATGGTTTGAGAAAATAAATGAATATTCCATCCGGCTACTTTCTACTACTCTACATAGTTTGCCACTGATTATCACCAGCTTCCTTAAGATTTCTCATATTATCCTTAATGATTGATGCCCACTACAAAAAGACTATTAGTTTCAATAAGCTAACCATAGTTCTGAAATTGCCCTGTGATTCTCAGTGATTTGGGTAACAATAATTTTCACATAGACATATAGCACTTAAACTGAACACCGTAGAAAGAATTTTTAGAGATAAGACTACTAAGACAAGCAATGCAAAAGAAGGAGAAAGAGGAAAGGAAGGAAGATTAAAATGTTAAAATAACTCAGATTGGTAAAAAACTGCATCTTCATTAAATTATTGTAGGAAACTACTGTTTTCTAAGCGTATCATTTGTAATAGCAAAGATGCTATATTTAGCACTTCAGTCTTCTCCTGCAAAAATACTATGCTTAATTCAATATGACATTGGATAAATGAATACAACAAAAGCTGGTCTTGCTGACTCCTGCCAAGTCCTTCATAGCAAGCATGAAAACCACATTAGCAATTGACCTCCTCAGTATTCTGAAGCTACACAAATAACCGGGAAGGAAAGCAAAGCAAATCTAGATACAATTACATTGCTGCAGATGAATTGGAAAAATGTCTCGGATATCTGCATCTTAAAATTGAGATATTATGTATAAATGGCATTAGCAGAGAAAGCACAGACATAAGTACTGTAATAGTTGTTATACAGAAACAGATTGTTATATAGAAACAGATTATGAATAATGTACAGAACTAAGCTTTGGCAACAGTTTAGTGGTTGGAGGGGAAATGATGAAATATGCTGAAATACAGTATTGGGGAGAAGTATTCAATGGTGCAATATTTTATTGTTGGTAAAAATAGGTAAAATAATGTTTTAAAGTAATTTGACATAGTGTAAATATCAGGCTGCGGTTATGTTTTACTGTACATAGCTGCAGCCTGATAATTTACAAGCAGCTGTAAATAGATCATGATAAAAAAACCCTCAAAGAATGCCCAGGTAGTGAAACAGTAACGTAAAAGTAATTTCTGCACAAGCCCACTTTTCCCATTTTTCAATGGTGATACTATTTTGTATACTTTTTTCTTCCATTCAACAGTGCCTGAGTCTCAGAGACTACCTGGACAAGTGCCTGCAATTTTCTTGGCAAGGTTTTTCAGAAGTGGTGTGCCACTAACTCTTTCCTAGGGATGAGAGAAAACAACCTAGATTAAGATTACCTAGGTGGCTTTGTGCCTAACGGCAGGACTAGAATTCACCATCTCCTGGTTTCTGATGCCTTAACCACTACACTGCACTGGTTCTATTAAGCAGCTGGAATACTGCATCCAGTTTTCATCACCACATTACAAAAAAGATGTTGAGACTTTGGAAAAAGTCCAAAGAAGAGCAACTAAGATGATTAAGGGCCCAGAGACAAAAACATATGAAGAACGGTTGCAGGATTTGGGTTTGGCCAGTCTAGAGAAACGAAGGACTGGGGGGACATGATAGCAGTAGCCCAGTATTTGAAAGTCTGCCATAAAGAAGAGGGGGTAAACTTATTTTTCAACGCACCAGAGGGCAGACAAGAAACAATGGATGGAAACTAATCAAGGAGAGAAGCAATCTAGAATTAAGGAGAACGTTCCTAACAGCGAGAGCAATTAACCAGTGGAACAACTTGCCATCAGAAGCTGTGGGTACTTTATCACTGGAGGTTTTTAAGAAGAGACTGGAAAGTCACTTGTCTAAAATGGTATAGGGTCTCCTGCTTGAGCAGGGGGTTGGACTAGAAAACCTCGAAGGTCCCTTCCAGCTCTATTCTGATTGATGCTACATTAATGCTCAAGGGCACACGAGTATCCCTAGGCCCCACTGACTAATGGCACCAACCCCTGCTGATGTGAAGATTAATCTTTTTAGAATGTTTCAGAAACAGAAATGGCATTGGCTCCACCTAAGCTTTTCCACCCTAAGCTACTGTCTATTCAGCCTTAGCTTAGTCAGTCTGAGTACATACTATTCAGGTGTGAGAGAATAACTAGGCAAAATAGAAAACATGTAACCATACAACAAAGAACTTAGCTGAATAAGTATAAAACAGCATCACAAAATCTGTTACAAGATAGCAAGGAAAAAGTGACTGCACACCAGATGATCTCCCAGTCCTTGCTGTATCCCTCCAGTTCTAAGATTAACAAAACTTATCTATTTGCATCTACTAAAGCTCACCATTCAAAAGGACTTCATCCAGAACGCATTATATAATAAGAACACCAGCTTACATTTTGTTCTCATAAAGCCTCATTAAAAACATCAGATACCACAGCATCTACCTGCATCTTGTGCAGGATTAAATTCATGTAACATTGTTTGGGAGGACAATAACCCCGGTGAACAAAATGATTATTCAAAGTGAGCAGGGCATGCTATGTTGAATAGGGATTGGATTTTCTGCCCCGTCTCCTACCCCTCAAGTTTGCAAGTTTTTGATTCTTTATATAAATTTTATTAATCCTCTAATAAGCTGTTATGAGTTTCCTGCTTCAAAACAGTGGCAATCCGTGCTGCTGGATTTTGGTGAGGTGGAGATTCTGTGGGCTGCAAAGACAATTTCAGGGTACATGCAGCCCTCAGTCTTTGAGGGTCGCTCACCTTGTATTGAAGACATTGTCTCTACCAGGGTAGCAGCTAATTCAGAGCATAACACAAATCCTTAGATTGGATTGGCAGGATAGAGATACAGGCATACACTCACCACTTTCCAACGGTCCTTTACCACATAGTTAGCCGGCAAAATGTCAACCTGTTCCCCTCCTCCGCTCATGTTTGGTTCGTCTTTGATAGCAGCTGCTAGGCACTGCATCTGCCAGCCAGAAAATAGTTTAGTAGCAGCTCCCAATTTAAATGAGCCATTTATCTAGAAAGAAGAGAAAATGCACACAAAAGGGGATGGGGAAACACAAAAGAGTTAATGCAGATTATAACGGGACAAATAGGTAGCAATCGGCAGTAACGTGTAAAGAAGGTGGCAAACTCACCTCAGGATTGAGCACAGCTTGCAATAAGCCTGGCTGGCTCAAGCAACTGCCCTCTTTAAAAATTCTTCATCTGTCCTCATGCACAAAGGAGCAGAAGCAACCATGCTGTGAGACGCGGCACAAAATTAAAAATAGTGGACAAGGTACTGGCTTTTACCATGCAGGATTTTCAGTGCTCAGGGACAGGAAAACTGAAAGCCAGTAACTCAGTAACTTGGTGGTAACAAGAAGGCCAGCAACAATTCAAGAGCCATAACTATCTTAATAATATGTATGATATTGCAGAATTAACCAATTAACCAGAGATTGATACTTTAAACAACACCTAGCTCAAGACTTGCCAAATACCACACACAGCTGGATTGAAGAAGAGCCAGAGTACTACAGATTGTAAAGTTTTAAAACATTATTTTCATGAGGCAACCATGAAACACATTGACAATGTGTTTTTGATCATCCAAATATATGAGGTTATATTAATAAATAATATACTATAAACAATAATTAAAAGACAGGGTAGTGTGAAAAGTAATGCAATATAATGATTAAGATACTTGATGGGATCCAGGCTCATGTTCTCATGGGAAAGCCTCTCTTGCATATCACGTTCTAATATCCCAAATATCTCTCTCTCTCTCTCTCTCTCTCTCTCTCTCTCTCTCTCTCTCTCTCTCTCTCTCTATATATATATATATATATATATATACACATATATATATATATACACACACACACACACACACACACACACACACACACATACATACATACATACATACATACCAGTGGTGAAATGTAAAATTTGTTACTATCAGTTCTGTGGGCATGGCTTGGTGGCGGGGGTGATGGTAATGTGACTGGGTGGGCGTTTTACTTTTAAAAGCATTTTTTCTACAACCTCTTCGACCGAAGAGGTTGTAAAAAAATGCTTTTAAAAGGCTCTGACAATCCCAGCTGAGTTCCCTGATCGTCAGAGGCTTTTGTTTTCTTTTAAAAGCATTTTTTTTCTTTTAAAAGAAAAAAAAGCCTCTGACGATCAGACAACTCAGCTGGGATCGTCAGAGCCTTTTAAAAGTATTTTTTTTTACAACCTCTTCAGCCGAAGAAAAAATGCTTTTAAAAGAAAAAAAAAGCCTCTAATGATCGCGTGGCTCAACTGGGCATGTGGGGGAGCAGGGATTTTTGCTATCAGTTCTCCGAACCACATGCCACCATCTCTACTGGATCGGGTGATCCGGTCCGAACCGGGAACATTTCACCCCTGATATATACACACACATACATACACATATACACACACACACTAAAAAGCAGAGACATTACCCTGCCAACAAAAGTGTGTATAGTCAAGGCTATGGTTTTCCCAGTTGCAATGTATGGCTGTGAAATTTGGACCATAAGAAAGGCTGAGCACCAAAGAATTGAGGGCCTTTGAACTATGGTGCTGGAGAAGACTCCTGCGAGTCCCTTGGACTGCAAGGCAATCAAACCGGTCAGCCTTAGAGGAGATCAACCCTGACTGCTCTTTAGAAGGCCAGATCCTGAAGATGAAACTCAAATACTTTGGCCACCTAATGAGAAGGAAGGGCTCCCTGGAGAAGAGCCTAATGCTGGGAAAGATTGAGGGCAAAAGAAGAAGGGGACGACAGAGAACGAGGTGGCTGGATGGAGTCACTGAAGCAGTAAGCATGAGCTTAAATGAACTCCAGAGGATGGTAGAAGACGAAGACAGGAAGGCCTGGAGGAACCTTGTCCATGGGATCACGATGGGTCAGACACGACTTCGTAACAACAAAAATACATACGCACGCACGCACGCGCAAACACACATACATACATATATATATACATATTATATATATGTGTGTGTATATGTATGTATGTGTGTGTGTATGTATGTGTGTGTGTGTGTATGTGTATGTATGTATGTATGTGTGTGTGTATATATATATATATGTATATAGATATATATATTTTTTTATATTATGTATATATATATATATGTTTTTCTTTCTTGTACGTAGGTTTTATGTGTATTTCTCTTTAGCCAGGTTCTACCTATGTAAACCAAGATATTATGCAGCCCTAGTTGAGGCCTTATAAGGCCTTATAAGGCTGAAATAGATCTATCTTAGTCTCCCAATGGGCAGCAGAGGGTCTGCTGGCTGCCAGAAGAAAAAAAAAAAAGCCCAGAAACTAGTGAATTGTGATTTCACTGAACTAGGGCTGCATAATATCTTGGTTTATGTAGGTAGAACCTGGCTAAAGATATATATATATATATACGTGATATATTAGCTCTATAATTGAGTGGGAACATGAGCCTGGATCCCATCAAGTATCCATTGTATTGCATTGCTTTTCATGCTACCTTTTTTTAAATTATTGTTTATACCATAGTATATTATTTATTAATATAACCTCATATATTTGGATTATCAAAAACACATTGTCAATGAATAAAGAGAAAAATAGTCTTGCAATGTTACATTTTCCACTCCCAAAATTCACATGTGTTAACAGGTAATATATCTAAAGAGCACTACGACTGCAGCGGATTAAACAGGTAATAAATGTAAAGAGCATTAGGACTACAACAATTTCACTCTAAATCATTTCTTACAGCAAGGTGATATTGTTCTGCCTCATCTGTTTCTTCCTCTATTACATATGTAACTGCATTGAAGAATATTATAAACTTTTGGTGTTTAAAAAAAAAAGATGTTAAACTGGATATGCAAAAGAAAAATTATAGGTACTTTCTTCTGATTGTTACAGTTCTCACGTTAATCATAATGTATGGAAGAGTGTATCAAAATACTTTGTCAGCAATAAACAGCCAGAATATAACTGGATAAATAGAATTATTGGTTTCAAATTTTTAAAAAATGCTTTGTTTTTCAATTGGAAAACTAAATATCCTCTATCATATGTGCAGACTCTTTTAGCATGTGGTAATCCCCATTCTTTCAGTGGGGGCAGTTATGGGAGTTAATCAAAAGTAATAGGGAAACTATCATTTGAATGACAGAAACACAGAAACGCATTTCTCCTATTCCTGCTTCTTCTTGGATTGAGATGATAATCCAGAAAGCAAGAATCTACCAGTTCAACCAAATATGTTTGTATTGTTTGGCATGAATGGCTTAAAAAACAGGTTATTTTTATTTAAAAAAATCAGAGCAATTAAGCATATTATGTTTTGAAAATAAATTAACTGAAGAAAGTTAAAACTCTTTACTATAAATGTGCTTTCTGAATTGTTAAAGAAACTCATGAACAATTAACAATGGTAATTATTTTCCATAAATTGAAAGATGTAGGCCAATGCTGCATTTAACTTTCTTTTCAAAATATAATTGTGTAGTATCTTCTTTATGGACTGGAAGAAGGGATGAAAAAGATGCTAGTTATTAATAATGGAGATGGGAATCAGTTCTCCAACTGTCCATCTTCTCATTAAGCTCCCCCAGAATTGCATACTAATTCATGTAGCAACCATAATTTGCTTTGTTTCACTTTGTTTTGTTGTGTTTTACATTGTTTTGTGGATTAATGAACTCCAAAATAGTTATTGTTTATGAGGCCGAATTGTATTAAGTATGTTATCCTAGTTTGCTCACCAACAAGTTAAAATGAAGCGATTGCCTAAAATACAGATTTTTGAAATCTCTAGATTATTGTAATATGTTCCCACAGGACTGCCCTTAATGAACTTTTGGACATTTTAACCTGTGTAGAAATCTACAGTTAATGACAATCAGAGTTTGAGAAATGGCAATTTGGGGATTAAAATTCTCCCACTCACAGTGAAAGCATATATTGAATTTTCCATCATCAATAAGCCAACAGCCATCTTTTTTTCTGTAATTGGTTTCCTAGAAAAACATATAGTAGTAACAAGCAACTTACTGGGGTGCCCAAGCCAGTGGTGGGTTGCTACCAGTTCGCCCCAGATTGGGCAAACCGTAGCGGCGGTGATGGGAGGCTCCGCCCACCCACCCGGACGCTTCTGCGCATGCACAGAAGTGTCACACATGTGCATGAGCGCAGAAGCGTTGCACATGCGCACAAGCGTAGAAGTATCATGCGTGCGCACAAATGCCCATGAGTGAAGGGTTTTGGAACCCACCCCTGGCCCAAGCTCCATTAAAGTCTATAGTCCAAAAGACAGCAAAGCACCAACAAGCTATTTTGCAGCTGACAACTGGAAATGTGAAACTAAAAAAGGAGGGGAGAACTGAATCATAGAAAGCAGTGCCATCAGGAATTTGGCAGTCTGGTTTATAGAGCATTTTACTCCAGTATTGTTTTATTCTACAATAGCTGCCTACTCAATTATTCCAAATGCTGGTTACTACTTTAAACTCTAATCAACATGATATAATTTCCTTCTGCACATAATACAGTAATCACTCTATCAAGCATCTGAAGTGCAACTCTGTAAGATCACATTTACATATGGTAATGTGTAATGGTAGAGGCATTATGATCTTGTTTTTTCTAGTAGAAACATCGGTACTACTGAATCTTCTCCAAGGAACCCTTGTTCCAAGGCTAAACCAAACTAATTTTTAAAGAAAAGAACAAATTAAAAAGAGGTAAAATTTTTCTGATTGAATACCACCCAACTCCCAATGATGATGCCTTGGTAGTTTCCCAATCAATTATTAACTAAGCTTGAATAGTTCAGCTTCTCAGCACAAGTAAGGTCAGCCAAATGCTGCTCATGCGAAGCATAAAACAAAAAAAAAATCTTTTGGAAGTAGCCAATTTCTCTTCTTACTCCTTTTCTGCTTTTCTAATAGCATTATTCTCATATTTTTAATTATTGTGACTCCTTTTCTATAATATGGTTACATCATTTTTACTGTGTTATTGCTGAACTGAGTTTAATATTTGTACGGTAGTTTGCCGTTTCTTGAAATGATTTTGGTACCTGTTTTGTTTTACTTGAAGAGCACAATAAGAAATATTTTTATTCCCAACATAGAAGATACTTGTAAAGCCAAAGTAGTTGCATTTAATTCTGTTTTCCATTGACAAAAAGGGTTAGTAAGCCAACACTAAGAAATAAAAATTTTAAGTTCTTTTTTTTAAAAAAAAATCCCTTTACTGGCTCTGTTGCTTTATGCATTAACTAAATGTTCACATACAAAATCATTCATGAAACTAACTGCAACATGCACTGCACCTTATGAGATTTCTAAGCAAAATTACACCAGGGCCTGCTTAATATCTAAACAATAATGTGATTTTATTGTTTTGGGTTTAGCTTGATGTGTAAACTGATTCTTCATATTCTATATGTAAATTAGACAAGCACACCTTGTTCAACAAAATAGTTAAAAATCTGATTTAGCATGCATTTATTAGGCCAAAGTGTTTACTAAACTCTCTCCCTCTTTCACATACACTCCACACATAAACATACAAATTAGGTCTGGCTTGGGCCAACCAAATCTTAGAAGCAATTTGGTTATCAGCATTTTTAGGCTGTTCAAGAACTTAAGCATATTTAAAAAGATAAGTCATTGTACTATTTTTGTCCATTGAACTAAAGCATGAAGCAGTATGCTCAGTAACATAGCCCAAAGGGATAATGTGATAAACTTGCTAGATAAGAATGTCAATTTAATCCTTGAGTCTAACACACCGTGTTATAAATCTCCAGCAGTTTCCAGCCTTACCAACCTCCAACAATTCAGGACCAGAAATTCCAATACACTTGAATAGGGTTAAAATGCTGAATTGCCAGTGGACTGCTAATGCATGATGTGGCATATTCATCTCTTTTTAAAATTTTCTGTATTCTTTGTGCATTCTTGTAATAATCACAGCTAACTATATCAAAGATGGGATGTGGATACTCATTCACCCAGCTCAGCATTTCAAGCACCCCAGCAACCACCTGCCATTTCAAAAGCTAAACTTGCAGATTGAAAAAGATTTCTTGCATTCAGGAAAAAAAGTAGGCAAACATTGAGAAGAGAATTTGGACAATGAGTCTTTTAAAACCTTTCTCTCAGACACACTAATCCTAGATTTCCATAACTTAAGATATATAGATTTAATCCAAAAATACTTTCAGCGAATAGAGGTAATGGAAAGTAGACATTAGAAAACTGGTATTCATTAATTTTTAGGTAACCAGCCATGGATATGGTCTCTGTCATCAGCTAGCTAGAAAATGCAGTGCCATTTGACTTTTCCTTTTCTATATTAGAACACAGTCTGGGAAATTTCAGTATAATTTGAGTTTTCTATTTTTATTGCAACTTTTGTTGATTTGCCTGTCTATATTCATGGTATGTCAGAAGAATTTCTCTACCCGGCATCAGCTCATGTATTACAGAAAACCATAACATTGAAGTATTAGAATTGTTTGCTTTTCTGGTGTCCTAGTGAGAAAGTTAACACCATTGTTGATTATCAGTAGCAGCTGCTTCTTTAGGAACTAAATTGGAACACCATATACAATAGAAATAATTAGGTTAAAACAGGCAGTTGAATAGAACAGGCAGGAAAAAAAAGTTGAGATTAAAAAAAAAACCCTCTAGAGTATTATTTTCAGTACAGCAATCAGCTGATGCCCCCTACATGGAGGACAGCTAAACAAATGCAGGTTATAACCCTGTTTTATGTAATTAGTAGCTCTCTGTCAAGTCACACTGTAATTCAAATTCAAGTGCTGCATAAATCTCTTAATTATAAACTGAGAATAATTAAGGCTAGAAAAATTGTTCCACGTTGTATCTTTAGGATAAAAGCTTTAAATATGGAGTCTAGGGTGTTCAACAGTAAAGACTCTGTCAGATGAAGTCTGCTGTAGCCAAAATATAGACAGTAACATCCAAAATCTCTTCAGAATGCTCTATGGCCTCCATTCATCAAACAAAAGCTACGGAAAACTCTCTCACCATCTTACTAAAGGTCCTGTGAAACACTTTAAAGTGCTTTGTGCTGGAGAACTGCAGTATCCCAGGTTATTTCAGGATACATCCTCACCTCAGGAAGCCTATGAATTAGAATAAGCAATATTTATTCAAGTTATTGGAAACCACGATTCTACCACTATCAGATTGTTTACCATATCTGTTATTTGACCATTTAAAAGGAGTATAGTATTCATATACTTTTTAAAAATTTTATTGGACTTTCGAAAGTATGTAATAATTAATACAAACCTTATACTGGACACTTATTTGTAGAGCAGAATGAAAATTCCCAGCACGCTGAATGGATTTTGATAAGACTTATTCCCTCTCAAAATAAAGGGGACAAACAGTAGAAAGTTGCAAGGATCTAATTCATCCTCCAAAATGTAAAGCAACGCTTTCTCTACTTGCCCAGAATATAAAAGAAAAAGACACAGAGGGTTTAAAGAAAACTAAAATATTCTGAAAGCTTCTGAAGATGAGGATTTAAAAAAACCCCTCAACTACAGTTCCAGCAATTATCATGATTTTTCACTGACCACACACACATTGCAAGACAAATTTCACATTTACATGCTAGCCTTCTTTAGACATAGTAGCATATTTTATTCAACTTTTCCTTAACTGGTATGCTGAATGGTTATGGAAACCTAGGTAGTCTTAAAACCAAATGAAGATTTGAAATCAAATATCCTCAGTCTAAATCCAAACTACCTCAGGAGTTAGCAATCTTTTCAATCCAGGCACCATTATGCAAAAGCAGGGGCACATACAGGTATGATTTTAAAGTGGGTCAAAATCTAATCCTTGCATCCACATATATACACACCTTCTCTTCAAGAGATGCCATCTACAGATGCTGCAGGCTCTTTGGCTGTTGCCATGTTGCCAAATCTTATGTAAGCTACCATATTGTATAAGTTATCAACATGAAACTCATTGAAATTACCATTTGGCATCAACATAGCACAATTATATTTTCTGTCCCTACTATTACTATGTTTTCTGACTTACACATTATTTTAAAGGTCACAAGAACAAATGTAACCAGCACATACAAAAAAACCTAAAGCTGACAACAAAATGTTTTATACTAATAAAATATTTCAAATCTTAACATTAAGTCCTAGAAACAGGAGGAGAGCAGCAAGTAAAGATTTCTATCTTGATCTTGAAATATTTATTTCTCAAGTAAAAATACTGAAAAAGATTTGAATATCTCTCAAAATTCCAGTGAAATAACATTCTGATCAAATAACAAAATTCTGATCAAATAACAGCTATAGTTCCTACCTCTGCTGTTTGGCCTCCTATCCTCTGGGATGTCTGCTTCTCATTGAACTCAGGAAAGGCTTTCCCCTTAGAAATTTCTTACATCACAGGATTCAAGCTCTGGAAAAATGCAAAATTCACAGATCAGGAAAAGAGCTTTAGCCTGTATAAACTTGGAATATTACATTCCATCAATAATTCAAATAATTCCATTATCATTAGCTCTGATATGTCATATCACATATTGAAATATATCTCTTTTTACATACATGTAAAGTATTGAAGACACAGAATCTCCAGTATTAAGAAACACTGTTTCTTGCTGCTTTCCTATATCAACATTTTACTTTGGGGGTGTTATGAATTCCCCATTAAACCACCAAAATATTAATCAAAGCTGATTATCAAGACATACATTTTATTTATTTAGTGAATTTATATCCCACTTCCACATAGGAGAGTCTTGGCAGCGCTTTGATATACCCAAAGCAAAGAAGAACTGAGGAACAGTCTAGATCAGTGATGGCTAACCTTTTTGCCATCGCGTGCCAGGAGAGGGGGGGTAGGGGAGGGTCATGCGCGCACGTGCCCACGTGCATGTGTGCGCAACCCCCTCCCTCCCGCTCCTGGCACATAATGGCCTGGTAGGCCCGTTTTTCTTTCTTACCTGGTTCCAGATCCTCTCTGTGTATCTGGGAACGGCGAAAACAGCCTTTCCCACTCCATTGGAGGCCCTACGGAGGCTGAAAAGACCCATTTCCCAACTCCCGGTGGGACAGGAAGTGACATTTTTTGCTGACCCCAGCCTCCAGAACCTCTCTAGGAGTCTCTAGGAGTCTGTAGGAGCCTCTCTAGGAGTCTCTGGAGGCTGGGGACAGGAAAAAACGTCACTTCCTGTCACACCGGGAGTGGGGAAATGGGCCCTTTGAGCCTCCGTAGGGCCTCCAAGGGAGTGGGAAAGGCTGTTTTCGCTGTTCCCAGATACACAGAGAGGATCCGGAGCCAGGTAAGAAAGAAAAACGGGCCTTCCCCACCCCCCCAGGCCCTCCAGAGGCAGAAACAGCCTGTTTCCCTACTTCTGGTGGGCCCAGAAGGCCCGAAAATCAGCTGGCCGGCGCAGCCATGCGCCCCAGAGCTGAGCTGGCGTGCCCACTAATATGGCTCCGTGTGCCACCTGTGGCACGTGTGCCATAGGTTCGCCATCACGGGTCTAGATTTAAAAAGGAAAAAATTATTCAGAGTATCCAGGGCATTCACATAGCACCTGACAACAATTGCTAAAGAATTTGCATCCTTTCCAGAAATCGCAAGGTTGCTGCAACACAAAAAAAATATCTATTCAGTTTTAAGGAAGTGCTACCTAATTGCAACAAGTACACACACCCTCACTCACTTGAAATCAGCTTTCCCTCTTCAGTTCTGCTATCTGCCCAGTGCTACAAAAAATAGTATAGAATGCTTGCATCTCCTTTCTCCACAGCATTTATAGGTGCTCCCAAGCAAGATTTTATTTGGCAAATGCTGAGTCATACATAGGATTTAATGAGATCCTAATGAAACATCTATGAATAATTCTCCCCAAACCCTTTTGAAACATTTTGGATGAAATATTTTACTTTAGAATGAGAAATTAAATATTTAAGGCAAGGTAAATTCCAAATTCATTGGAGAAGGCAATGATAATAGGAATGGTTAGTGGACAAAGAAGGGGCAAGCAAAGTACACACTGGCTTGGTAACATCAAATCTGATACGAAGTTGAACATTCAACAATTGAAAGAAGCTGTGCTTGACAGGGTAGTCAGAAGAGCAATGCCTATAAAGTCACCAAGAGTCAGACACAACTACATGGTTAAAAAAAAAAAATCCATATAGTCATCAGGGATCAGACCAACTCAGTAGAATCTGTTGATTTCAGAATTTAGGGAAACAGATTTGATTACATAGGTCCCAGTGGACTTAATCTTATTGGATGGAATTATAAGAATGAGTATGACAAGCACATCTTCGTTGACCTGCTTGCCTGTGAAACAATGTAGATCTGGCAATGGGAAGGGACCAATGAACTGTTAAAAGGAGAAAAGACAATTCGGTTCTGAGAAAGGGTACACTAGCATGAGAAAGAAACTCAAAATAGCTGCACCTTAATTTTGTTTAGTATAAAGTGGGGCAGACAGACACTCTGACAAGTTTTTATTGTTAGGTTAGGTTAGGTTAGGTTAGGTTAGGTTAGGTTAGGTTAGGTTAGGTTAGGTTAGGTTAGGTTAGGTTAGGTTATATGTTATATGTTATGTTATATCTTATATCTTATATTATTCCCAGCTCTTTGAGGTAAGCCAAAGCCAAAAAAAGAGAAGCAGCAAAAATATTTTTTATTGCTGTACAGTAAAGTAACAGAATTTTGAGATTCATGACTAAGATTTTCCATCTTTTAGCTGCTACAAGTAACCACTCTGACATTTCTGGAAGTAGTATTGAAAAGGGGATGCTTTTTTTCCTAATGCATCCCACACATATGAGCTTTATATAAAGAAAGAAATATAATATATTCCCTCATGTACCTTAACTGCAGCTTTAAAAGAAATAGGCTGTGAAGCTGGCATTTCTGGTAAACAATGTAAGCTTACCATTTCCACCATCACTCCCATTAATTTACAAAACCTGCTAATCAATTTTTGCTTTGCTTTATAAAAATATTTAGTCTACTTGGCCAAAGGTCATAAAATATAATTTTCCTGGACAAATAATTCATTGAGGGCTATCAAGAGCACGATCAGAATATCATTAAGAACTGGTAATCTAAGAAATGAAAAATATTAGTGAAAAGAACATTGTTTTTGTCTAATAACTAACCTGGCTTTTCCCACAGATTAAGTTTAAGTGAAATTAAACATGGCTTTTCAATCAAATTTATCACTGAAACAATCAGTGTGATAGTTTCAGTGTGTTTCCTTCTGATTGTGAAAATCAGAAGGAAATTCTGTAAATTATGAGATCCTGCCCTGATGTTAATGAATGTAAGCCTCAATAAGATTAACAATCTATTCCTATCTCTTTAAATTCAGTAGAAATTTCCTATGCTCAGGCAAGATAATATCAAGTTGTTGAAAGTCACCAAGAAAAAACCTGTGCAAGGATACATCTAGAACAGGGGTGACAAACTCGATTTCATTGAGGGCAACATCAGGGTTGTGTTTGACCTTGGGAACCAGGGTGGGCGTGGCCAGGGTGGGCATCTCCAGCTCAACGTCACTTGTGTCGGGGGCATCTGTGGAGGTCCAAGAACTCTGCCAGCAAAAACAGGCTCCCAAGCTCCATTTTTGCTGGAAGAAGCACCACAGGCCGCTCCTTTGCTGTTTCCAGGGTGGCCCCGCGAGCCAGATCTAAGCACCCCACAGGCCGGATCCAGCCCTGGGGCCTTTAGTTTGACACCCCTTATCTAGAACATGCTGAAATATTCTTGAACCAGATTCAAGTCTGGAAAAAAAGTGGAATCACTGTAAGAAAACAGTTCCAGTCCAAAGCACTCCTTCTAGATCATTTTCAAAGTGTGCACTGCCTTATAGTACACCACTTCAAAATGCTTCTACAGTAAGGATAAAATGTACTATAAATGAATAAAATATTGCAGAACCATTTCAGCTGCAATCACTTAAGTAAAGTAGTGTTGTAATGTGGGAAAGGAAGGTACTCTATCTCAAATACCATTAATTAAAGGATCAAAGAGGGCGGCTTTCTTACCAGGAAAAAAAAACCAGAAATACACAGAAAAGTGTCCAAAGCTATCAAAATGGTTGTTTCAATCATTGCAGTATGCAGTATTCACAAGTAGGTTCTGCTTTGTGGAGGAACACTGAAGGAGTTTCATCAAATGCACAAAGTGAAGTGCTTCTTCAAGGCTCTACACAGGCTACTTGTTACTATATTTATCTCTCTGAATACAGCTTTGAATTGATGGGGTTGTTTCCAAAAGCAGTGACAAGATCATAATAACCATCCTGGATCAAACCAACGCAGATCTAGCCCAGGATTCTGCTTTCTAGAATGGCTGACTAAATGTTAATAGAAGCCCACACAATAGCATCTTTCTGCTCATATGCTTTGGAAATTGTTATCAAGTGATTGTTTCTGAAACTAGTGGCAATGTTTAGTCGTTAATTTCTAGCCATTGATTGTCTCATTCTCCCTTGATTTGTTCAGTAACATACTAAATGCAAATTAAAGGCTATATTTATATTTTGCATTTGTTTCTTCCACAAGTTAACCATGCACTGTATAATGAAATACATCTATTTCATTTTAAACTTCCATCATGCTGCTATTTTGCATGATGGTTCAGACCTAATATTGTAAGAAGAAAGTGCATTATTCTAAGCATAATATAGTTTAGAGTATATTTGGCCTTACAATCATATGTAATGCAGCTTAGGCCTCAAGTCTATTCATTTATCTTCCTTAGTAAAGTAAGTTACAGCTATCCAAAGCTAAAATCTGAAGTCTTCAGTTAAAGCATTTTATATAGCTGTTTTAGGTAAAATTCCAGAAACTGTTACTACTACTGAGTTACATAATAATTTATTATATAATGTATTAAATGTATAACATGTAGCTCTACTTCTGAATTCTGCTTCCAGTAGTGTAAACCAGTGGTCCCCAACCCCCGGTCCGCGGACCGGTGCCGGGCCGTGGAGTACCTGGCACCGGGCCGCGCAACGGCCGGGGGACATGAACGCTGCAGCGCAAAGGCTCCTGGGCCGTGCGCAATGGGCCGTGCGCAAAAGCTCCTGGGCCGTGCCCCCACCCCTGCGCGCGCTCAGCGGGCCGCGGCGATAAAAAGGTTGGGGACCACTGGTGTAAACAACAAGGAAGGGGTAAAACTTAATTCCACCCAACATGTACTTCACTAAATATCTCCTCCATACGTTTAAAAAATTTCCATTAATGTCAATGGAGTTAGTTCTGGCACCACCTAAGGAAACAAAAATTGTATTATGCAAATGATTCATATAACTTTGCAATCATGCCTTTTGTACAAATACCTATCAGGACTTCACATGCTTAGTTTAACTCCCGCATCCAATTCTTAATACAAATCTCTGTAAACAATCAATGCATGTATTTTACAGAAATCACATCTTAAAATATACTTTTACTAAACTACTTTTTCATTCAAGAATTTACCACATAGGCCTTACATCAGGGATAGAGGATTTCCAGACATCAACAAAGTCCTCTCCCACTCCTACAAGTTCCCTCAACATCATCTAGTCAAATTTTCATCATCTATTCATCTATTCCCTTTGAGAAGAATCAGTTGAGTTGGCTCTATCATCCATGTGCCACTGTCTTCCTTTGAAGGGGAAAAGTAACAGATAGGTCATAATAACAAAAACCAATCCTGCCAATACTGCTACATCAGAAAGCACACTCCTTCTTGCATGAGGAAAATAAGTAAGGAGAAAGATCTTCCCTGTTCAAATGTCAGCTCCCAATGGCTTCCAGGTTTAACCCAGCCCTCCAACCGGGTCAATTATCTCTTTAGTATACTTAGCTACTAAGTTTATCAGTTAACAAGGTGTTCTTTCAAAAATGCTAATTCTCTGCCCATAATTAAAACTTTGACATAATCAGATTTTTAAAAATACATATAATTTAACTCGATGGTTAGTAAAAGCAGTAAAAATATAAAAACTGAGAAACTTATTCTTAGGAAGAGAAGTATGTCTATATTCCCAAAACATATGAAAACATATATCACCACGTAGCATTATATACAAGTTTTGGCAGCTGATTTTATATTAGAAATAATAAAAATTAAAATACTACCAATAAACTTTTGGATAAAAACAAGTATTTTATTAGGTCAGCTGGCTCCATGACATCCTACATTTTATTATATTGGCCAATCTTTTTTAAGCCATCTATTTTAATGAATATCACCGAATGACATAGATTTGATGTGTTATTTATGCTCTTTCTTTTGATGTAAGCTCCTTAGCAATCAATTATATTGATTGGACCTGCCTTCTAGAGGAACAAGAGAAAATGTGTCTATGTTCGCTGTAAACACATTTATATTAGTACAATGTTCTAATGCATCAGCTTCCAGTTATTAGAAGTTACAGGTCAGAGATACAATATATGTTTCATATCTAAAGGGATCAAATTCAGCCCTTGACTTTGCCATCAGAGCTAGGAAAACCTCTGCCCAAAATTCTAGAAGGCAACCTTCAGGCATCATATTGTGCTTGACATTCCTCTATAGAACACCGTTTCTTATAATCTCAGGAAAAATATTGTTCTAATGATCGAACAGTTTCAGTTTGTAAATCATTTTAGAATGTTATTAGAGTTTTACAAAATTATTTTTGAGATTGCACACTCAGAATGGCATTGTAGTCTAAATGTTAATAACCTGAGGTTTATATAACACTATGAAGTTTACAGTTTAATTTTCAATTATCTTAGTGTCTGGAAATACCATATTGGGACATTAGAATAAAAGTGCCAATCACTGCATACAGCATCAATAATTCCTTTAACAGTATCAGAATCTTTTTTAGAAAACTGATTTTAATGACAAATGTTTTCTGCTACCTCAATTCAGTCACTGGTATATTTAAATAAACAAATTTAAATTATGTATTTAATAATCTAACATAAAAATTCAAGAAGTCATCAAATTAATCAAGGTTTGTATGAAATCCTGGCCTAATTTGTCTGGTTCAAGTCATCGTTCAAATGTTCTAATGCCCCTATATCTTAATATCTGCCCACAACAAAATATAAATTTCTAGGATTGAAAATTCAATTTCCTGGATTACTGAAACTCCTTTCTCAATCAGGACTGTCACAATAAAACACTGACCAGGGTGATCCACGATCCAATTATATTCTTACAGTGACCAAATCTCTAGATTATGCCATGAAATATATGAAGCTGGCAACAAAATTACAAATATTTAACATAACTCATTCCCCCAAACGCAGAAGTATGACATTCAAAACTTAAGAAGTGACCAGATTGTTTATCACTGTAGACAACTGTATCTGCAAGATATATGTGTAGTGAAATATTGCATTTTAGAAGAGATAACAGATTAGAAACCATTCCAAATAAAACCGATGTATAAGAATAAGAACAGAAGATTAATGATAAAAAAGAATAACTGAAATTGATCTAAAAAAAGGAGATAGCAATGGTTTATAGTACATAATGGGATAATAAAGGAAAAAGTTCTCATTTGCAAATACAAAACTTCAGTCTAAAAGTATGAAGAACCTGAGTCTAATCTGTTACTGTCACATAAAAGTTTTGTTATTAGATAATCAGAAGTTTCATCCCAAACAGAATGATGCTATCTATTCAGCTCAAGCTGCAAAACCTTTCTGTCACTTTTTCTCATATCTGCATCCCTCCTCCTAAGAACAACTCAAAGGAATCAGGGAGAAAAAGTCACCAAATCTAAGTAAATTTGCCATTTAATACTCCACCATCATTTCCTAATCTCCAATCCCAGCCTTTTTGCAAAATCCAATCGTATCTTTCAACACTTATTTAAAGCCTCAGTCTGTGCATCCGTCCAGGAATAAACATTTTTAAAAGATGCTCCTACTAACAAATCCAAAGGATGGGTTACATTTGAAATGAAGATACATCTACCGGTACTTCAAGCGTAGTTGAGGAAGGGTAAGTGCATACACAGCAGTCTGATCATCACCACTTTCTTAATGTTAATGTAGGTTTTCCAAAAAGCAGAGATTTCTGGAGTGTCTGAAAATTTCCAAAGCCACTGAGAAAGAAATACAGCTCTACTTTCTTGGAAAAGGGCACATCTTCCATACAAAAACTTTGTATGGTTATTTCACCTGAGCGGCTCTCAACTCGGACCAATGACTCATGTTCTCCGTCTACACACCCATCATAGCTAAAATAAAGATGCTCATAATCATTAATAGTTAAAATATTTTTTAAATGTTTACAATAACTGTAATGATTTATATTGTTAAAATGTATCCATCTAAGCAAAAAGGAAGAGAAAAATGGAATGACATTTGGTTAGGATCTAAGATTTAAGTAACGGGTTTTTGGGATAATGGCATAGTTAAATTGATAGAATTTAGAGAAATAACTGAGTAAAATATTACTCAGTAATATTAGTTTACACCACTGAGTAAAGTTGTGTTAATTGGAAGTTAAGAATTGTTAGTGATTTGTACTAATTTGTGACCGGATCAATGCTTCGTTTTGGAAAAGATGTGTTTTATGTTTGTGTTTTAAAAAATAAAAAAAAACTTTTTTCAAAAAAAAAAAAAAAAGATGCTCAGAAGCTTCCATTTACTTCCACCCCGCCGCCTAAGCGTTTCCCGGGGCGATAAAAATCAAGCATCAGAGCCCCGCCCCCCGCCTCCCAGGTAGACCCCGAGGCCCCCCCCCCAAAAGACCCCCCCCCCCCCCCCCCCCCCTCCCCCCCCCCCCCACCCTCTGCCTGCACTGCAGTTCGTCCAAACTCGCCTCCATCCTTCGGCCGCTTCCACCCCACTCAGAGGCTGCTCCGAATCGCGACTGGCCAAACACATCGTCAATCCAGCCCCGAGGCATCCTGGGAGGTTAAGATCCCAGCCACGCCGAGCCTCCAGTCTCCGTCTCTGCCCCCCCCCCCCACACACCCCCTCCGCGCCCTCGAAGGAGAGACAGAGAACTACAACTCCCAAAATGCACCACTAGGCCACACTTCAGAGGAGGGGTCCAGGCACGGCCCTACCTCCTGGGCCCCAGCCCCCTCCTCGTTCCCCCAAGTGTTCGATTAGGGGGATAGCGGGGCCGTAGTCCCGCCTCAAAAATCCCCCAATCTCCGGGCAGGCCAGCCCATCCCCTCGGCGCTCACCTGGTCCTTGCCGCAGCCGTTGGCGAGGGTGGTGCATCCTCTACCAGCTGCCCTCAGTCAGTGCGGCACCGGCGCGTGGCTCCCTGCCCTGCCTGGGACCGTCTGGGAAGCTGCCTCCTCCTGTGGGGGCCGCCCGGGGAGCATCCTCCCCCCTCCCGCACCGGCCTCGGGATGGGTCCGCGGCGGCAGAAGGGAGGAGGAGGAGGAGGCTCCGCTAGCGGGATTCGCCCACAATGCACTACGCGCAGAAGCAGCAGCAGCAGCGGCCGCCGCCGTGCCTGACATCAGCTCCAGCCTCCGCAGCGTCGCCCCGCCCTACCTTGCCGGCTTCCTTCGGGATCTCCCGTGGCTTCCACGCGCCACAACGGGGCTGCCTGTCCACGGTGGGGGCGCGTGCAACCCTCCCTCAAACGCCCCGAGCCTTCTGCGTGCCTTTGAAGAGAAACTAGGGCTAGTATGCCTGGACTGCAAAACTCCAAACCTCACATCACAACACGTTACGATTGTCTGTACTTATTTGCTCTTGTCTGGGGTTTTTGCTGACCGGATATGATTACCTTCTGATAAATGGAAAATCCTGATCGCTCCGGCACGAGTGGACACTAATGCACTAATACTCCTACTAGGTCTTTCGAGGTGACTGACGGAACAAAAGTTTCTTTCAACCTATTTCCCTGTTTTATCCCTCAAGTATTTTCATGACTCATTCATCATTATTAAAGGCACTTAAAAATAAAACACATAAATATATTCATTAATTTTATTTTTAATTATGGGAATTACAATGTCCCAAATACCTGTATTTGTACAGGTAGTCTTCCACCAACGACCACAACTGAGCCTCAAATTTCTGTTGCTGAGGCAGTTCTTAAGTGAGTTTTACTCCATTTTACGTTTCTTTGCCATAGTTGTTAAGCAAATCACTGCCGTTGTTAAGTGAGTCATGCTCACTTAAATCTGGCTTCTCCCACTGACTTTTTTTTTTTAATTTGATTTAAATTTGATTTGACTTTGCTTGTCAGAAGCTGTCTGGAACATTACAAATGGTGATCGCATGACCCTAAGACAGTGCAACTGTCATAAATACATGCCAGTTGCCAAGCGTCCTAATTTTGATCACATGACAGTGGATGCTGCAATGGTCGTAAGCATGAAAACTGATTATCAAATCCCTTTTTTCAATGCTATTGTAATTTTGAATGGTCACTACACACACAAAGTTGTAAGTTGAGGACTATCGGTAGTAAATTGGAGGGTTTTTTCCTACATTGAAACGGTAACAGAAGACAATCGACGAAATGTGCAAAAAATTAAACAACAGAAAATAGCCAAAGCCTCCATGTCAATGGACATCATAGATGCTTATGGAATAGAGATATGAAGACAGATAGACATTAAAAGCTATGATTAATGGATGCTAAACTTTAGAAATAAAATTTCAACACAGCAAGAAGAATGTGGACTAAATCTGTAAAATTTACATCGAATTGTAACTCAAAATTTGTACAAAATGTTCTATAAACTGTATTCAAGCAGCAGACATTTCTTGAAACCATGTTTACTAACACATTCTTTCCTTTAAATTACTATGGATCTAGAATATAGTGCAGGAAACATACATATAACAGCCTCTAGGTATAGAAAAATTTAACTAGCTGTCCACTCAAATATGGACATTTTAATTGCTCCCTGGTTCTTCAGATCTGATTCTTAAAAAGTTCACCCACCACTCCAAGAATCTTTTGCCTGGAGAGTGTGAATGTACCTTCACCCAAGTAAGGGGCTTTCAGACAGAACACCTCTGCCCATGCCTATTTTGCATTGTCTGGCAACCTGGATTATTCCCCTCCTCATCCCCTAGGTAAAATGTTTGCCAGCTCAACTCCAAGTACTTTTAACTATTTAATTTTTTTTAATCCTTTACTTTTATAAATAACTCAAAATGGGACGCATACCTAACATCTTTTCTCTTCCTATTAATTATTTTTTTTCTTTTGAAAGAAATTTTTTCTTTCAAGTAAGTTTCTGGCAGCAATATGGAACTTGTTTGTCAATATTTGTGGGGGACAAGAGGGCTTGCATAGATCCACTTATCACCAATGCCTGTTGAAATAATTGCTACTAAATTTGAAGGAACTATATGAAAAAACTCCTGTATCATTCTTTAATCTTCTAGTGTCCATCACATCTCTGTTATTGGATTAGATGACCTCCAAGGTCCCTTCCAACTGTTAATGTTACTGTTTGTAATATGTAACCACACGACCATGGGATTGGGCAAATGCAAGTTTTGCCTAGAGTGGACATATGGGTATCAAGTCCATTGTTGATTGAAAAGATTGATATATCACTGCAAAATGGGCATCCTCCCCCACGAGGTTGAAGTCTCTAGTTTTCCCTGTAACATGTTTGCTTCTCCCCTCACAATAAAAAGTCTTTTTTTTTTTTTTTGCATGTGCATTCTTGATATCATTGCTAGTACATTTCACATGTCATTCAATGTAGCTCTGTTAGAAAATCCATACATCTCAAAACCATACTGTTCATATGATGCTCTGGTACCTTCTTCCAGCAAAGTTTCACATCTGCATGCCTCCAAGTTCAAAACCGCACACCCCAGTGATGGTATTTAAGATCTTTTCTTAGTAGGTATGGGTTCCTCTTTACAAACTGTCATATTAGGGCCATGATAGCGAACCTATGGCACACGTGCTGGAAGTGGCACACAGAGCCATCTCTCCGGGCACGAGCCATTGCCCGTTATTCTGGGTTCCGGAGCACCAACCAGCTGGTCTTCACGTGCGCGGGAGCGCTGGAAGCCAGAAGAGCAACCACCCGGTGTGGATGCAAATTTGGTACAATATATATTTCTCTAAAATATTTCAAAAATATGCTTTACCTATCACTAATGCCTTCTCTCCTTATGACCTGACAAGTGATATACGAATATAGAGTAAATGATAGTAATGGGTACATTTGCTGGCACAGTGAATTTAAGCTATGGCATATATACAGACAACAGAGATGTTGCATGACAACTATCTCAAATCAAAAGAAACTTAAAATTCAATATCCACAACTAAAATATGTATTCATAAAGTTTTCATAACTGATAAGACATCCACAACTGCAAAATTTTTTCCACTTTGGAAACTTAAGCTTTTTCTTTTCTTAAAAACTGCTTTTGGGTAAAATCAGATATAGTTCAGACAAGAAGCATGATAATGAATACTAGCTCTACCTTTATTGTAAGGTTGCATTAACAGATTCTTGCAAGTCTGAAATTATTTCTCCCTTCCTTTTCTTTTACTGTCCAGAAAATTAGGAAGAGTCCCTTCTAAAACACCTTCCCCCTTCCCTCTGCTTCACTCGACGTTTGCATGATGGTTGTGTAGTCTGTGGCTCTTCCTCCTGTCTCACATGTCATTCCTACATCCCATTACACCCCACACTTGCTCTAGTCTATAGAGTGTAAAAGATGGATATTGTGACATTGCACATACAATCCTGTTCTCTGTAAACGATGAAGTATTAGAAATCTGCTGAGCTGGAGAAACTGAGAAAATGGCATCATGGCAAATGTTTCTTTTAACTAGATACTCCCAAGATTATGGGGCTTCTCCCAAAAACCAACTTCCCATTCTCATTTAACATTTTGGTACTAAGAAAGAATAGCAAAGCAGAATCAAAGAAAAGCATATAAAAAGACAAACAGAAGAAAACCAGTTTATTTCATAAACAGAAGTTGTATAATTTTTGGGTTCTTTTTCATTTTCAAGAAAAAAGAAAGCATAATACTCCGAACAATTTTAGCTCCTGCATACACATACACACACATATATGTATGTATACATGTTTACATTGTATATATGAACCCTTTGAACTTCTATATCCTGCGGAATTCCCACCTGCAGAGTGCATTCCAAATGGCAAAAGAACATTAAAGAAAAAAAATATCTTCATGAAAGAGTTCCATACAAAATACAAAACCATTTCAGTTCAAAACATAAGCAATCTACAGATGTATCCAACAGGGCCATAGTAGGGCATTTTAACCAAATTTGGGAGTTGTTTTACTTTAAAAAAAAAAACACCAGTTTACCAACATTCATAAGCAAGCATTATATGCAAGCGTGCAACCGCACGTATGCACACAAGCACACACAATTTTTGCCCAAATGAAATGCAATTCAAGTGATTCACGCACAATCTCCTAAGTTGCCCTTTTCATTAATTAGAGAATATCATTGTCCCTGGCACTGAATCTTATAGAATAATTTATATTGAAATGAAATCAAAATCTCCGTTCATTGTTTTGGAGCTGTGTTAGAATGGAAATGAAAATTGTTCAGACAGACAAGAAGCCCCTTAGAGACTTTGCATATTTATGTACATTTGTGTAGATACACACGCACACATTCATGCTTCCATGTATTTACTGTATGAATCGCTATTGAAGAACAAAACTGAACTGGCACTCATAAATAAGGCTGTATTGCTATTAGGTCCTAGAATTTTAACTCAATGCTGGGCAAAATAATAAAGTCAAATATATTTATCAAATAAAACCTCTGCATAAGTATTAGCTAATGGGCAATAAGGTACAGGGAATATAGGAAGGGATGATGTGCAAACTTTCACATAAATGGATGATATACAGTGCTCTCTTAAAATTGAAGCCTGCATTGGAGTTTTAGGCAATGGTCTTTTTTCTAGACTGGAGCCTAGTCTTATTCCCTAAGAAAGTTTGCAGTCCTGCAGCCCCACTGCTCCCCAGCTTTTTCATTTGTTTATTTGGCTAATGAACTTTGTATGTAATCAGGCACTGTGAATTTTCCAACAGCCACAAAGATCTATCTCAAAGAGAAGGTGCCCTTAATTGTAAACGATCATATAATTGACTCCCAATTAACTGAAATTCTCTCCCTGCCGTTTGTGACAATGATAGTAGCAGAATTAGCAGGGACAAGGTTGCCTGAAGCTTCCTCTTCTTCAGAATTTGGGAAGTCCAAAGGTGAACCCTAATCAAATGGTTCATCTTCATCGTCAAAAAAAAAGCAATCTCTCTCTAGATTTTCTGATTCATCATCATAAGAAATATCATCATCATCATCAAGGTCTTCATCATCATATTCTTCTTGCCACTCTGGAACATACTCATCTTCCTCATCTTCCTCTTTGCCCCCATCATCTGTATCAGGTGAATCAGATCCTTCATAAAAAATCAGCCTGTGCAGAAAC